ACGGGTGGACGTGAGCCAACATGTCGCTCAGGGCATACACCGTGGCTGTGCAGGAGAGAGGGGGAGGAGGAGGAGGAATTTTAATGAGCCAGTAACTACCCCAGCAGGTCCTGATGCCCCAGACTCCTCCCTGTGACCCTGTGCCCCCCCCACAGCCCCCATAATAGTAACATGACTGTCATCCACCCCCCCACCATCACACGTATGAAAAACATGTCCACAGGTTCATGATGACATCACTTCCTCCTGAAAAGTCTGGTCAAACTCTCAAAAACTGAAACTTCCTGGAAAAACGTACAGGAACAGGAAGTGAGAAAAGTGAGGGAAATACTGCAGTACTCTTCTGGAAATACTGCAGTAATCTTCTGTAAATACTGCAGTATTCTTCTGTAAATACTGCAGTACTCTGTAAATACTGCAGTATTCTTCTGTAAATACTGCAGTACTCTGGAAATACTGCAGTACTCTGGAAATACTGCAGTATTCTTCAGTAAATATTGCAGTATTCTTCAGTAAATACTGCAGTACTCTGTAAATACTGCAGTACTCTAACTGAAATCTCCTTTTTGTATTCATTGTTTTGTCTGAGGTTCGTTTTCACTGCTGAATACAGATTAGCGCCATCACTGGGCCTAGAAGTTACTGCGTCAATTATTTTCTCCATCTATTCAGTGTTTATCCAGCCATGAAATGTATTCACCGTCTTCAGGCTCTGAACTGAACTGAACCTTAACCCCCACTCACTCTGACTAAGGTTCAAATCCCGTCCAGACGTTGAATCACTGACTGAAAACCTGTGACAGGTTCCGTCTTCCTTCCTGTTTCTACCTCACAGATGTGTGTGACGAGCCTTTCTTCTACTGATCCTGTCATATCGTCTTTCCTCTTCCTCCCACTCGGTGACCGTCCGTCACCTCAGACGACAGGAACACAAAGACATCACAGAACCAAGAAGAACCCAAAAGAACGGACCACAAAAAGTCCTGCAGGGATATTAGGTATCACTGAGAGGAAGAGGAGGAGGAAGAGGAGGAGGAGGAGGGGGAGGAGGAGGAGGAGGAGGAGGAGGAGGAGGAAGAGGAAGAGGAAGAGGAGGAGGAGGAAGAGGAGGAGAGTAAGGAGGACACTTCATCGTTTCCATCGTTTCCTGACAGGAAAAACATTTTGTCACCCCCCCCCCCACAGTCGCACGGTGGTGCAGAGAAACAGTGGTGTTGACAGGAAAACAGCCTGTCTCCAGGACGGAGGGTTCATTTATTGCTTCCTCTCGACCTGCGTTCCTGCAGCGGCGTGCTGACAAACACCGCCGTTGATTCATACGTTGTTGTGTCATGTGTTCGTGAGGCTGAGGACCTGTGGTCACGTTAACCCCCCC